AAGGTGATTATCGTTTTGACGCAGACATAATACTGTATCATCTGCTGTGTAATTTGTACATACCAAGTCTTTGTGCAACTACCCGTCTTCATACCAGCAGCTGAATAGCTGTTTTCCTCGTCCTCAAAAACTGCTATTAGAAGCCGTCATTAAGGAGTGCGCAGCAGCCCGTCGAACAGCGCCGAAAATTTGAGGGGGCGCTGAAGAATATATACGAACACGGTTACCTATTCTGGCAAAATCCAACGTATCACTGAAGGTGACACGGATCGGCTTTTTATAAAGGTTATTCATTTATTAAAGTCACAAGATAAAATGTTTGTTATGAGACGTTATTTTTTATAGAGGGTCGGGTAAGTTCAATCGTATTACACCCGTTCGTCCGTTTTCAGATTTAATGCGGTCTTTGGTTTAACAAATTAATTTCACGATATTGAAATATTTGAAACAAAATTTAATAGAGTTTATTGTACTGTGTATTGTCAGCATTACTCTACGTGTACGTATCAATTATAATCTTATTTTCAAAAAAAAAAATTACATATGATTCTTACATTAACGAAGGAGAATTTTAAAAAAATGTGCATATAAGGTTTTTGTCTTCCGACATCCATTTGATTGAAGCACATTTGATTGAAGCACCTTTGGTGGATTAGCGAGCTGTTCGAGTTCAGTCTCGCTAAGGTTATCGTCGATAAATTCACGGATTGTTATGGTAGCCAGTTTAACCGATTCAAATATATAATGAGGGAGGAAAAGTTTAATCTTGTGTTTATATAACGTACTGAAATCTCCCGACGACCAAGTAACCATCTATCCAAAACCCGCTCGTTTTGCTGCTTTCTCCTCAAATTGATAATTGTCGAATGTCGCGCTGTCTGCGTTGGAGGTCTTCCACCAGTTCGGCCAGGAATTTCGACATTGAGAGAATTTTTCATCATCATCGCTATTGCTCTGCTCATCGTCTGCATTGCCTCTTCGGTCTTTGTCTCGTCATCTTTCTTTGAACCGGTCAAGCTTTGTCATTTTCATATCCAGGCTTCTGTCGTATGTTATTCATAATGCACGCAACGGCTCGTCAGCATACTCGCATCTGTATGTCAACGTTAAATTCGGTCCCATCTCTATGTAATGCCAGACGGTCCGCGGGGAGACGTGGTGATTAGAATATATCGACTTGAGCAAGATTGCAGTATGACGGAACGCACTCTCAGGTATTACAGTTCCTTCAACTAGGTCGTGCTCTGTACCTCTTCTTATGTTTGTCCTTTAACAACTTCCTTCAAGCTTGTCTTGTGAGTATCATTCAACTGCTTTGCTGTCTATTTGAACATTATTTTGCTGATACTTATCAACTTCTTTTGTTTTCTCGTGATCAACTTTATTTCGGACTCGATTCACGGTTGACCGCCTATCGTGCCGACTGTTATCTTCTTACTCGAGTTTCTGTTCGGCTTGGCTGACTTCTTATCCAGTTCCCTTTGCAATCGTTCGTTCCGATTCGTTGCAGTTTTTCTTGAGCTCCTTTTATGGAAAGCTCTGATTTCTTTCATAATCCCTTGAGCTGTCTCTTGTAAAGCTTGTCATAGTCAGAAGATGAGTTGTGTCGTAGTTCCCGACCCATGGTTTGAAGAACTTCTTGAATTTTGCCTTGAAGCATAAGCGAATTTTGTAGAATTTGTTCTTGTGATTTCTTTCTTGCAAGCTGTTCCTCTTGCATAACTTTGTGGTTCTGGAACTTGGCAAACCATGGTGATGATGGAAGCGGTCGATTGGGGGGGGATCGTTGTGATAAGAGGTTCCATTAGGCCAAATGTAGAATCGGTTTGCAGTGTCTAATAAACGTGTATTAGTATATCATATATCAATGAATTTATCTGTCATTCGAAATTGATATTCCCTGTAACTTACCAGCCTGAATATTTCTGTCTTTTCCATTACGGCGTATGAAACCATTGAGGGCTTATTCGTGAGTTTAGTATGCAATGTGTCGTGCGGCAAAGAATTATTCGTTATGTTACAATTAGCTTGAGCCATTTCATAAATAAGAGCCCCTCCCGAGGGGGCCTTATTTACAGGCGTTGTATTTGAGATGTCGTACAGATCGCGTGCTAAATTAATATTGATCTCATTGGTCTTATACCCCCAATGACTTATACCCCCAATGCAGCAATGATAGTCGTAAGTAGTAGTCACTAATACTATAAAGTCTGGCTTTTTCACAATTACAATGATCCTCAAAGATGTTCTATTATTTATTATTGTCTTTCTTATTCTATAATATGATTCATGGACAATAAAAAGACCCTTCATTTAACAAATGCAGCACTTATCTTCTTAATATTAATTAATAATAATTAAACCCAAACTCATTCAACTACAACCCATCAACTATTCTTAACTCTCCCCCTCTTTCTACTCTTACTCCCTCTCCTCCCTACATTAATATATATACTCCATACTATCCATCTCCTAAATTTCCTTATTTATATTATTATCTTTACAGTTGACACTGTTTATACCGAACCTATTTATACCGAACCCTGGATATAACGAACCAAAATTGCCAGACCCAATT